ATTTCGGTTTAAGTGCCTCAGAAATGCGTAACAATTTCATCTTGTTGTTGTCGCCATCGTTGCCGTTACTGTTGTTGTTGTTATTGCTGTTGTTGTTGTTGTTGTTGCTATTGTTTGTTGCCGTTGTGGTTCGGTAGCTTGCAATTTTTTCTACAAAATTTTTCTTATTTCTCCACTAAATGAGACGCAACTAAGCTTTTTGAATCATGTTTCAATTTATCTCCCAACGCTTTACGGCACCTTACGTCAATTGCGGTAAAAGCTACGCTATCAACGTCTATAACCAGAGAAAGAGCAAACACGATTATTAGCAAGATGGTGCCTGCCTTTTGAGTATGGAATCAAACAGTTGAGACATCAAACAATTCTGAAGATGTAAGAAACACGTATTTAAAGTCATGTCATCGTCACGAAATCTTGCCAGATATTTCGCAGTTTTTGAAAACCAATTAAAATTGGAATCTCCAGAGACGTGTAGGGTGCTCAATTTTAAGTTTTGCTTGGCTTTGGGTTGTTTTTTTTCTTCTATTTCGCTGCATTTTTAATACGTTGGTGTGGATTCGTTGTTGTTTGCTTAGACATTTCTTTGCTTTTTTTTATTTTCAATTTGTTAAAATTGTTTAAATAAATTCCTTTGTGTATATACGTATGCTTGCGTTTGTAATAACAAACTACAATTTGTGTTTTTTTTTTTTTTTATAATTTTTACTTGATATTTTTTTGTTTTTTTTTTGCTCGTTTATTTTTGTCGAGTTTTTTCTTTCAATTTGGCCTGAATTGTTTATGTGTGTGATGAATATCACGATAATTTATAGAAAATACATAAAACCGATGAACACTTGATTGTGCGAAAGAATTTTGTAATGTTATTAAAGAATTCTTTTTCTTTTTTCAACAAAGAAGAAAAAATTAAATCCTTCCTAATCGGTACCCTAGATACAAATCAATAAATCATATCTATATTCCCTTGCAAAGATAATTACATATTTCTCCACTAGGTTGAGATCATCTCACTCCTCTCGCTTTCTTACTTTCTAGCTCACCATCACCCTGTCATAGTTATATCGAAAAAATATACATTTATAATGTTGTTATGCAAAACTGCTTTGTTTGCGTATTATTCCTAGTATTTCGTACATTAACGTCCCGCCACTGGATTGTGAAAAGCATAGGATTTTATGTACGAAGTTAGACAAAGTATTTACGGATTCACAGACTTACGAGACTCATTTACAGCAATTTGAAGCTAATCTGTTAAATCACGGAGATGAACGCCCAAATCCTTTAAATCGACTCGTTTCCTTTAAGGCCACGATTTTGTTCTACTATCGACAGTAGATCCTTTGGTTGTTGAGCCTTCAAACTCAGACAGTTTACGCCAATGTTTTTATTAAACTCGCTCGTTGCATTCTCTCTTATTTGACGCCTGGATGTTTTCATTAGCTGCGCACTGCACTCAAAGCACAAGCCTACGGCATGACGTAAACTGAGAACAACAAACGTTCTCTAGGGTTATCACTCACAAACTACGATAGATGTATCATCAAAACTTTAACGAACGACAAAAATGAAGATAGTTTTCTTACTTATACTTACTGTCGTTACTATTGTATGTGTAACCGATGAAGACAAAATAAAGACATTAACTTATGCAGACTGGCGAATAATAACTCGCGAACCGTTGGAAGATCGTATTTATCGAATTCGGTTGTTCTTAACAAAGCCTTATGTTCGTCTTTCATTTTAACAACAAAAAGCACAAATAAGAAAGCGAAGGGGCTTGGCGAACCGCCCTTGCATAGCAGTGTATAACATATGCATGCGAGCACTTGTGTCCTTTACGCCGCATTACGATTCATCAATCGGTTCAATTTGTCATGTTAAATAGGGTAACATACTAACAATATACGTCTTACGGCTGCATTCTTCTCTTCCCCAACTTTCTTTCCTCCTACATCTGTTTATTGATATTGATGAAGAAATTAATTGATTTTAATAAGCCTCCACTTATGACTGACTCCACCCTCGGAGTAACTATTCGGCTTAGCGAATTTAATTATTCATTAAAAAAAAAAAATACATATCACAAAAAAGGAAAAAAAAAATATGACACAACTCTTAGCTGACTTTGTCGAATCAATTCAATCGTATCTATTAATCCTAGTTTAAGAGTTTAACGAATAAACAACCAACAAATGCGTTCATACATAATTGTATAGAAAATTCCATTAATCATGTCTCTAATTGACCACTCCTTGTAAACTGTGGCATTAATTTTAAATGTATTCCATAATCAAGCCAAAAAAAAAAAAAATAAATAATAATAATAATAATAAAAACCAAGCAACGGAATAGAAAAACTTTAAAATGAAGCATTTGAAATGTAAACTTAAAGCCATATCTGTTAACAAAGTTGGTAAAGAAAAAAAAAAACACGCGCTCTATCAATAATTTGCAATGATAAATAGCCTGCGCATGCTTGCATATGCATGTACACGCACTACACAAGAGATCTTTATCCAAAACTCTCAGGGTTGCCATTACTGACTGACTACAACCGCTGAGGCCTACATACATCACTTGTGCTTGACTAAGATGCGATTTGCAAGTCCTGTCTGCTAGAAACCGTTGAAGAATAGTACTAAGAGAATTTCCGTAAGCTTGAAGCGAATTTGGAATATGCAGCAAATAATGAGCAAAAATTTCTCTAGTCGATCAAAAGCAATTTTTTCGCTACAGACTCGTTCGGTAAAATATGTGAATTAGGCCGATTGCTAATTATCGTTTTTCAATCAGAGCAAATCATGGCATGTACTTCGCCATATTCATCATTAGTATTTTCCTCCTCAGTCGCTTATTCTTAGGAAAGCCGAACCATATGCCTCTACCAGTTTATCAGTTACAAAGTGTTAGTTTCTTAGTTAGAAATGATTTGCTTTGTATATGCGATGTGCTATATCCAACACGATGAGCTATATTGCACCATTCTTTGGTAAGCGTGATTGCTTTGAGTTTTTTGGGGAAAACCATGAATAGACAGATAAGGCCAAAGTTAGTTTAATGGAAAACCTTAAGGGATAATCCGAAGCCTATTTCCAGTGGTTCTGAACACAAATAACACAACAGCAACAATAATTCCACAAGAACTAACTGCCGGCTGAATTTGTTAATCGAAAAACTGTTTCTATGATTACAAAACTGCTTTTCAAAGTATGTGTTTTCCATTGTACACTTTTCTAGCATTACTTGGTGTTTTCACACTTTGCTTTTCCTTTAGCATACTTGCAAGGTGTTGAAGGTGTTATAATGTGAAATCAATGCTTACTTACGCACAAGCATGTGTGTTGGAGAAAAACCAGGCAAACAATTTTAAAATGTCTAAATTTGGTATCGCAACACAGTCACCTGTATGTGCATATATTAAATTATTTTTGCTGCAAACACAAATCAAAATCTTACAAAAGCCCTAAAGAACTGCTTTAAGCCAAATACTAACCAATAATGTAGATTATATATATTTTTTTTTAAACAATCTATCTATAAACTAATCTAATTTATAGGCTTGTCAGACAAGCAAGATTACATCTTGGCAAAGTCTATAACTGTCAAGTCCATCTAATTTTGGCTAATTAATCAAAAACGATCAAATATATCCATCGCGGCAGATATAAGCAAAAAATTTCAAAAGTTTAATGCAACAACTTTTTCTCCTTCTCTACCACCCATAATCCTTACCGAGTAAATCGAGCAGTTGATGCCGAACGAAATGCTATTCCTATCGTCAAATCTCAGTTGGTTAGTTAATTAGTATTAGTTGTTGTTGTTGTTGTTACAAGAAGCAAGAAAAAAGTTATTATTTCGTTTTTAAAATCGGGAAGCGTACGAATAAAAGCGAGTCGGCGCCATAAAATTTGAACTTTGAACGGACGATATTGCCATCATTTAGTCGTTGTTCGGCAAGAGATCCATATCATAGAAATTGTGAAAGTGTTCAAAAAAAGGCTGCAATTGCAAGTGACTCATAGAGTTATTGCAAGCATTGACAAAACAAAGGCATTTACGGATAGTCATAGTCATAGTCGTCTTCCAATTTTAATGGCCCATGAAGTAAATAAATAAATTTGTTTAATATGCTCTGTGTCAAGCTGTCTGCAGACTGAGTTTCATTCTTATACGCAGTCGACGAATATCTTAGTGCATAGAAAACATAAATATATGTTGTGTGTATCCTGCATATTTTACTGAGAACATAAATTATTACATTTAAAACTATTTTTGCAGACCGCTCCATACAACACCAAATAAAATTTATAATTTACTTCAATACACGTATTAGCGAAAATATTCATTTTTTGGTTTGTTTGGTCTTTCTGTAGCTTGCTCTCTTACACCATCAACTTGACATATGTCTACATTTGACCGGCGTTACACACAACGCATACATAACAGCCGGCCGCCAAGCAAACAGATAGGCAAGCATGCATGCCGTGCATTTCTTGGGGTCTTTGGTGTATATTAAGTAATCGTTTATTTTGCGGATTTGGATAAATTGATTTCTGTCATTTATGTTTTCGGTTTTCTGCCTCTTTTTTTCTTCGCTTTGTGTCTCGGTTTAAAGCTTAGCGAATGTCACTCAAATGTATGTGTGACCACAAAAAATGCATATATATGTTTATATATATGTATACATATATAAATAATTGAAGAAAGAAAAAGAAGCATAAAAACTAAGCGATTTTATTTAGGCCACAAAATTTTTTCGTCGTCTTTCTTTGGGAACCGACATTTGTTAAATGCAGTCAGTGCCTGCATATTCTTTGCGAGGGAAAATTAATTATATGCATTGTGGACATGCAAGATTTACTGCTACAATTTACCAAACGTGTTTATACTTTGTCAGCCATATGTCATTAAGATTTATTTAAGTCAGACTAATAAAAAACTATATATATATATATATATATATATGTATAAAATAATTTTTTTTCTTTTTTTTACAGAATTTATTAATTTTTGTGATTCGCGTACTGAACCACCTCTTCAATCCTAGCAGTAATTATTTGCTGTTATTTTTATTCTATGTCTTGGCCTAAATGATTGGCACCGATGAGATGTCATCCACTGGCATGGATATCAGTGAATCATTTCGTCCGGAGGATATATCGAAAACTGATTTTTTCGATTTCGTTACCGCCCCCGATATGGGCCTGGGTTTAGGTGTTAATTTACACCATCATCACAGTCATCAACAGCACCATCATCACCACCACCACCAACACCAGCAGCAGCAGCAGCAGCAGCAGCAGCAGCAGCAGCAACAACACACAAATCAACATAATCAACATCACCACTCGCATCATCATCATCACCCGCACCATCATCATGGCAGCCAGCAACAGCATCATCCATCTGCCGGCGATAACAGTTCAATGACTCACGATAGCGGTGGCGGCGGTGGCGGTGTTGGGAGCACAAATAATGGTAGTGGTAACAGTACTAATAACACTTCAGATCGTGTCGATCCTCATGGCGACAACACCGGTATTAGCGATGCCAATAGGGTCACTGTTAGTGATGCCGCTCTACAAGGTTATGAGGTAAGTTTTTACTGTTTTTTTCTTTTTGTTTTTTTTTTTGTTTTTTTGTTTTAAGGTTAAAAGGCTTGATAGCAAGACCAAAACAAGGAAAAATAACTTTTCTTTTCCTTATACCTTTTTTTCGCAAATTTACATCTTTTCCTCGCCATGTAATTTGTTTATTAAGAGTCAATGGTTATAGAAAGAAAAAACAAAAGTTGTTATTGTTATATTATGTCAAATATTTGTCATTTGTGCCATAATGAATTGTTGTGGAATAGTTAAAGGCGATCATAAATCTGATTTTCTTTCCTTCGATGATGACATTTGTGACGTTTTTTCGGCTTTTACGTAAAGTTTTTGATACGAATTTATATATTATATATATATATATATATATTGCTTTGGTAGAAAAAGTGAACACCTTTCATTTAATGTTTATTTTAATTTATTCAGCATAACGAATCAAGCGTCAAATATGTTTAAAAAAATTTTAGAGAAATTTTCGCATCATTTTTTTTTCCTTTTCTTCTTTCATTCATGATTTCCCGTCGTTTCCTAGCAGCCTTTAATATGATTAATAGCTCACCGCATGCCTTCTCGTACATGTTATGACATTTGACAGCCAAAGCATATAATTTCAAATTATAAACGCGTTAAGACCTGCCTTTGTTTTTATTTCTAGCATTAAAAGAAATGATAGTAATAATAAAAAAAAGATTTTCCCATACCAAGCAACTAATACGCATTTAATTAATCTTCGGATTTACTTAGTAAATATTTACATATATAAAGTCGTAAGTCTCAATTTGATTTGAAATAAGATACACTTTAAGTATAAACTTTCTATTTGAAAAATAAGGATAGAAAGCGAAGAAAAAAAATTCCATGTTATGCGTAAATACTTTACTTATAGGCGATTTATTGGGTAGGCGATCTTCTAGAAAATAGTATTTAGGGCAACATTTAGGCTGGAATTTCTTTATCGGTTACGTCCATATCAAGCAGACAAGGATTTTCTCCTTTCAATTAATTCAAAATAGCTTAGCTAAGTGACTTTTATTTGATAGACATTCCTCGCATATACATATAACTTTTAAGTAAGTAACATTTACTTGCGTTCTGATTAATAAGTCAAAAATCATTACTCCGCATGTTCTTTACTGACTTTTATTCGATAAAGATTCCTTGCATTAATCAACTAAGCAAATAAAGTCTTTCTTTAAGTTAGATTGATACAAGTTTATTATACTGCTCCTTTTATGCATGCTCGTACACAACGGTACACAAAAATTTATGTAGCACAACAAGATTTTCCCGCTGATACAATTGAAACTTCTGTGCCTGTGTAGTTGTCAGATCTCATTGAGCTCCAACTGGAACGCAGACTTTATAACAACAGTCATTATCACGGTTGTGTCGATTACTTAAAGCAAAGAGAAAGTCAACGTGATTATGCAAATAAATACGCACAGACAGAATAAAAAAAGTCTTCTTTATGTCTACGGCTATGCGAAGAGGCAAAGAAAGTGGACGGGAGAAACGTAGAAAGAAGCAGGATTAACTTCTGGAGAGACCTCTGAACACCTTAGAATGGCCAAATCGAGAAAAGGGAAAAGAACAATTCAAAAAAGAATATATAATTCTTCGGATTCATCTTTCGAACAATAGAAAAAGGTGTCCGCTAAAAATTTTGCATTACACGAAGCTAGACGAACTCATACTAACAACAGCTCTCTGCAATTTCTATCTTTTGCAGGAAGAGAAAATGGCTAAAGATTAAATAGGTCTTACGTTAGTGGCAAACGGCCTTTCTACAGATTGCGGCAAGAGCCAAACACTTTTCAATATCCAGTAATAATAAATTTATTTTCAATTTCGCCTACCAACCTAGCAGAATTGGCATAATTGAGTTAGTTTGAATTATTCGATGCTTTTATGTTTCGTGTTCCTTTCTGCTGTCTAAGTCACATTATTCTGGGTATCAGCCCATTACTGCATAGCAGAATTAAGTTTTAGTTCGAAAATTCGGAGGTAAGTTTTTTCTTCTATGTGACCAATCGCTCAGAGAGTGTCCCCTATTCGTGTAATACGGTGACTAGCGGAAAGAAGAGAGAAATGAGACAGAAATAGGGAGATGGTGCCCACAAGCTAGTGGTTGCGCTTTATGTTTATTACGGACTGAGCACTCACTGTAGCTACCTGCAAAGTAAACCCTACTGCACTCGAGATTTCGAAGTGACATTAAATTGCAAAATGTCTCGATTAAGAATTAACTAATAAAACAATAGGGATTTTGTTTTGTCAGAAACAACGTCCCTATATGTTATTACGTAAGCCTATTTAAAGCTGAATGTCTCACAGCCGACTAGATAAGTGTCGGCGTTCATGGAATCCCAAGCGGGTCGTAGCCAAATCGCTTAAGGCATAATACTTAACGATAACACGCCATCCCCACTAGACTGCTGCCACACCGCATCACTTTCGCCACTGCTTTCTAACCATTAAAGCGTCGCTCATATCCCCGGCGCCGTAAAACAGAAAAATGGAAATGGAAGGGATCCATTATTCGTCTCAAGCCAGTTTTATTGTTATTACTAACCATGCCAATTAAATTTAAAAAGAACTCGAGCGCACCCAAGAATTTTATGATACAAGCTGTGATAAAGATTAATAACACATTACCTCTATCCATAATAAGAGAAACTTATTAAAAATAAGCTGTTTTTTTTTTTTTACTTTTAGTCCACCCATTTTAAACTGTAGTGTAAAAGATTATTTAAAAAAATAAATAAATAACAAAATTGTGAAATATGTGGAAAGGAGAGAGAGAAAAAAAATATATAGAGATATTTCCAAGAAATATATTTTGCAAAATAAAAAAAAATTTACAAAATATTTCAAATTTATTTAACAGCAAGTGACACAATAGAGCCAAAACCTAAGAAATATTACTAACAATTTATTTAATATTAATGTATGGCCTAATAACACTTTGAAATTCCAAATTTAACAAACACATACGTGCATACAACAAATAACACAAAATAGCAAATGTATGTGCTTGTATGAGTTGAGTGTGTGTATCTATGCATTTGTATAAGTAGAAACGTACAACTGACGCCTTAAATACAAACAGATGTATAAATATTTGTTTGGGTGGCATATGAGTAAGTAAGTGAGTGTGATTATGTGCGGCTATAATCTAACTAACGAATGCATTAACAAACCAAAAAAATTAATGAAAGTATTTTAATACAAACAGATGAAAAAAAAAACTATAAATATTTTAGTACTAAACAAAAAAAAACAAAAAAAAAACACAAGAAATCCTACACCTGTACCGACAACAACATAAAACATTCATTAAGCATTAGTGGAGGAAAGAGAGAAAAAAAAAAAAAAAAAGGAATTGATTGTTAAACAAAAAGTAAAGAAAAAAAAATGGATATATGTCTATATACATATATATATATATGTATATGTGAATAACAAATATATCAAATACGAATTTTTAAGATTATTTTTATTACTAAAATATCTGATTACGTTTTTAATTTCTTGCGCTTTAATTAAAAAATCTATTAAAAAAATAAGTATTTGCGAAAAAAAAATCTAATTTTTATTTCATATAAACTTTAATTAAATGAAAACAAATATCTCTATGATGTGATTTCCTATATATAACAAACACTAAATCTCATACAAGGTAACAGATATGTACCTAAATGTGTTCAATCCTGAACAAGTTTGTCTCTAAACATTTTATATAAATACAAAATTTTTTTTTTTTTTTTTTTAATAAAAAGAAAACTTTCAAAAAACAATAAATTTGAATTGAATAGTCCGAAAAAGAGAAAAAAACGTTGCTTTTTGTTTTAAGCAAATATGAAAACATTTAAAACTTGTAAAAACTGAAAGCACGTGCCGTGCAGAGGCCATGATTACCAAGAAAAAAACAAAAGATAAAAATTGGTGATGTAAAATTTATAGAAAAAGCAAAAGAAAAAAAAAAAGAAAAAGAAAAAAAAAACAAAGGCATGTTTTGCTTAGCTAAACAAGCCATTCATTAGATACGTGTATGATTTTATTGACCTGAACGCGGTTTGTAGAGTAGCAGCTTAACAAAGACCATAAATCCAATGCATTTCTCTGATTAGAGCGAACATGTTTCTCTTTGTCGTTTTTTCCTGCAAGCAGAAGAATTTTCTTCTATTTGTTTTTTTTTTTTTTGGTGGAAAATTTCAAAACGTCAATCATTAGACGGTTTGTTAACCGTTTGACTTGCGTGTAAGAAGACATGTAACATGACAGTTGCATTTGTTAAAGATTAACAAAAATGCGTTAGAGTTAGATTTTTGTTTTTATGTTTTTTGTTTATACCTTATGCATCTTCTTTGTCTGCATGCATTAACTGATCTCTTACGCTTGCCTGTTCTTCTCTTGCATTAATTTAGTTTTGGAATACGGACAAAGAGCAAAGCCGTTTAGAGTCTACGATATTTGATGATTTAGATCGTTACTGTTGGCAGCATCAGGCAAATTCCTCGAGCGCCACAAATGCGAGTTCCTCCTTACATCATCATACAACATCTAGCAACGTTATGAATCCGCCAGTAACTCACACAGTCCCCGCCAATGCCTCCAGTACAGATCCGCCTTCATCGCATTCTCATAGCACGAATTTGCTTAACAGTTGCAGTAACTCACAAACGGCGATTACCACCAGTTCTTCCGCTCTTAATACAGCGCCGCAAATAACTCAGACTCCTCTCAATAACGATGGCTCGATATCAAGCGTCATCAATACCGATGGCCAAATTTACACATTAAAAGTATTAAATGGCACCGAATCGTGGCTGAAACGTGAACCGGACTCGCAGCTAAATAACACTTTGGACTTGGATAGTTTGTTAAATTCTTTTCACGGTTACATTAAATCCGAGTATTCTTACGATGATAGCGGTTTCAGTGCGGACGGCACCAAAGACGTCAACTCCGGCGACGCAACAAATTGTATGAACTCACTGAACGCTGTTGCTGGAGATGATACTGGTTCAGGTGGCGCAAACGGCTTAGGTTCATTATCAAACACATCACGCTTACCTTCGTTAATGTCGACGCTAGCCTCAGTAACGAACAACAGCATCGGAGTTATTAAAAATGAAAGTACAACGAGTCCTCTGCCGAGCATTGTCAGTCAACAAATAGATCAATTTCAGAACAATAACAACGATTGGCATATGACGGATCATAACAGTGAACAGGTGCGTGCTACCATCTCGGTGTAACAATTTTTGGATTATTTAATTAATCCTCAATACAAACTTGTTAGGTAAGAACAAATAAACACATAAAAGGGGGCCGCACACCACTTTGCCTAATGCAATTATTGATGTAATGAGTTCTCAAAAAAACGGCGTTAAAGAGGAAGTGATCGAAAAAGTGGTCCAATCCGAAGTAGCGTTGGTCGTTAAGCGAAGGGAAACCGGTGCCCCATACTCCATCAAAATATCTCAAGAATTGCCTGTTGTAGGTTGAACACAAAAAAACAAGACTTGAAAGGGAGCGAGTTAACCTACCTACAGACGGGCGGATAGACAAACGACCAGACAGGCAAATAGACAGACGTACGGACAGACAGGCTGAATTGATAAGTATAATATGATATGGGTCCGTCCAAAATCCTTCTTGGCGTTCTATGCAGCCGCATAAACTTTTGTCCCATAAGCGTGGTAGGGCACAACAACAACGGCGACAAAACTCATGTAACATGTATTGAAAGTTTCGTTGTAATCTGGCTAAACTGGCCGACGTCAGACTGACAGGTCGAAAGACGGGCAGCCAAGGCTAGATCGATTCAAAAATTGATCATTATCGATCGTTATAACGACAGTTCCATCCACCTCAAATTCTTCTGCGGGCTGAACTTAATATACTCGAGCAACACAAGCGTTTTTATTTATTACGAATATTAAAAAAATGAGAAAACATAGGCATTAGATTAAGAACTTCTAAGGGATAAAATTGAAAAATGTTTCAAAATTTTATAAAAACTCTATTTAATTTATTTATAGAATTCGGCCGAATCTTTATTGCGTAGCGCTTTACAGGGCAAAGGTTATTCCAAAGGTTTGCACATGCATAATGGTATTACATTAATGCCTACATCACCGACAGTCAAAGACGAAGAAATGAGAAGAATGTTGTTTCCCGTCGATACGGTGAGTAAATGTAGTCAATAAAAATGATTTCCAAATTTAAACCCAACATTTATATCCCTGAGCGGAGCGAAATCATTGTCAATGTCAGTCTCGTCACTCGTATTTCTTTTCTTCTCTTTTTTTCAATTCGTCTATGTTAAGGATGCCTTGGGTTTCACTGATTCGTCTTTGAATGCTGCTCAAATTTTCGAAGACACTCAAACGGCCAGTTCGCACAGTTCCCATTTAGTAGTAACGCATTCACCCCATATAAATGGTCCATTAACTCCCGTAAACAGTTCGAATAATGGCGGTAACGCAGGTGGTCACACAAATCCCTCGGCTGTTTCAAATATTATTGTCGATGACATGTTCCTATCGCTGGAGAATGCCTTCAATATTGCCAACGAAGTGCAACAATTTTGCACCCCATCTGCTAGTGCCAATGATTTTTCCAGCAATGAAGTCATCATGCCGATCTCTGCCAATGACGGAGCAATAAATACAACGGGGAACACACAGCTGCCTTCATTACATTCGGTTACAGGGACAAGTGCAGCAACAGGCTCAGAACCTACAACGCCAACCGGTGGACCGACGCCAATACCGTCGATTGGCGTAGTAAGTCTTGCAACCGCCCAACATAATCAGACTCCGTCACAGCCTCTTAAACCGGAAGTAACCACCTCAAGCAATCGCATCGGCAGCACAACAAAAGTCACCAAAAAATATAAACGCACCATGTCCACTGTAGCCACCGCAGTCGCTGCCCATCATAACAACAATAACAATCCTAATGTGATCAACAACAACAACAACAATAGCAGCCTTAAGACTGGCAATACTACGTTACTTTTAGCAAATGGTAGTCGCAACAGCGTTAGCAACGCATCAAGTGGCAGCAGTACAAACAGCAGCAATAGTCCTACGCACTGCAACGCTAACGGCAATAGTAGCAATACGCTAACAACAACAACCACTCCAACAAGTATTAATTCCACGTCTGGTACTAATACAGGTCAGCGAAAAGAACGCTCCCTACACTATTGCACAATATGTTCGAAAGGCTTTAAAGACAAGTACTCCGTTAATGTGCACATACGCACGCATACTGGTGAGAAGCCCTTCGCTTGTACACTATGCGGTAAAAGTTTTCGACAAAAGGCCCATCTGGCCAAACATCATCAAACACATTTGGCGCAAAAAAATAACGGCAACATGGTTAAGGGAAATTCTAGTAAACATCACCGCAACAATGCAACAACTTTAAGTAATCCTACGTCGGTTCACAGTCACAATCCGAGATCGTTAACACTCATACCAAATGTCAGTACAGCGCCCGGTCCAAACGGTAGTATTGGTATAGTGGGTGGAATAATTAGCAATTCTGCTAGCATACCCTTAAATGTGGCAACAGCGCCGCAATCTGCACCTCCCTCTACACCGTCTACTCTACTACCGCCGGCAAATGGTCTTTTGATTAATAGGTAGAATTCACTGAACGCTACAACAGCTTATAATTTACTACCGACTTGATATCTATTGTTCCTAAAATTAGTTTTGTTTTTTCCTTTTTAAAACAATGTCCCCACGATCTGTCCACAAAAATACTCACAAAGCAAAGCTAAAGTAAGTTCCCCATTTAAGGAATATATGCTTATGTCATAGAAAAAATCGAAGCAAAACACCTTTCGAATTTATGTTATTCCATGTGTATGTAATCTTAAAATATTTATTCATTTTTTTTTTTTTTTTTTTTTGTTGTTTATAAAACTGAAAGATGGTTTGAAAAGTTTCAATTTCTTTTAACTCCACGCCGAAGCAAGCAGAGCGAAAGGGATGAATTATGTTTAGGCTACAATGGAACAAATTTACTCGCTGTACTAAAATGTATATAATTTAAGTCCAAATCATCATGGGTTACTGAGGCAAAAATCTACTTATTACAAAACATTTGAATGGTGAAGGAATCCTTTCATTTACTTGCATCCTGGGTACGCAAACCTATGCTAAGCACTCCAGGATTGAAACTCGTTCGCGATTTTTAATCCAGGATACAAACAAGCGACTTCGAAAGAAGGCTTGCGAATTCAAGCACACTGTTTACTACTTTATTAATTTCTTTTGCTATATGTTACCCTTGCGGTAAAAGGGTATATTAACTTCATGCGATTGTATGCAACACTTGAGATGGAACCAACTTTTGTTATACCGATCTATTCAGAATCATTTTTTGAATTCCTTCCTAAATCAATATAAGCTTGTCTGTCCGTCTTTCCGTCTTGTTTTTTTTTTTTTTTGTGTTTAACCTGCAAGCTGTAATTTATGGGATATTTTGATGAAATCCGGGACACTGACGTGTTGCGACCCAATCGCGAACTCTGTTGAGAACGGCTCCAAACAAATCTCTTTTTCAACCACATGCCATTAATCGCCTTGTTTTGAATAGTCGTTACATGAATAACTGCATGAGGGTACACGGATAATAGTGGGCCGTCGCCCACTGTAGAGTTTTCACATTTCAATCCCACGTCCCTTCTCGTTTGTTTTTCATAATTGATAGTTGATTGTTTTCCCATTTTGTGCTTAACGGGTTACGGAATGCCGACTACGCGATACTGCAATTCAAGCCCTAAGCAAAATTTGTTTAATAATAAGTGAAAAAAAAATCTTCATAGTGAAACAAATGAAATCAATCTCAACTGAAAACGAATGAAATGAAAAGTTTAGCTAGCTAACCAATCAACAAGAACTCGTACGATATTCAAATTTGTAATTGAAACCTCCTAACGATTGAGAATACATAGGGTTGAGGCGCTTCCATATGTTCACTTCCACTTTTTTACCATCACTACTGTTGTCCACTGTACCTAACCTTAATTTTATATTTAGAAAAAAAAAGATTGACCGGTGACGGTTTTAGTCAACTTTGAAATTCTCTCTTATTAACACACTAATGTTACATTTAGTCAATAACACTTAAAGACCAAACACCAAAGTATTTTGAATCACAAAAAAAAAAAAAAAAAACTTCTCAATTCCCTTTTTCCTACTAATTAAATACATAAAACGGGAGAGAGAAAGGAAAAACTTTTCAAATTATCTGCAAACTTTTTCAATAAAAATAATACTCATAAATAAAAGAATAATAAACAAATATAACAATTAGTTAAATTAAATAAAAGAATTATCAAAAAAAAAAAAAAAAGAAAAAACTTAAAAATGTGCCAAACTATTTTATGTAACACAAACAATTTATTTATTAGCTTATGATAACAAATCGAAGCAAGAGAATATCCGCAGGATGATGTGATCAATGTTTCTTTCAGAAGAAGTCTGTGCAAATTAGTCCCAGTGAAGAATGTAGCAATAAAAAGGTATCAACATCTGAAGACGGAAGCCGCGATTTATTAACGTTCAATAAAGAATCGATCCATTTTTGGAATGATTAGCAGGAATTAGTTGACGTGTGTACATTCATGGTCCCTTAGAATGCATCCGTTCTAACGATATAACGTACGAGCCGCCTCTTAAAGGTTTTTCAAACCCTGGGACTTCACGCATGCGCATTAAGGCCCATGATTTTCTTAAAGAGTAAGCCAAAGACATTGATAAAAGGTCGACTTCCCCTTTTGAAAATGCTGCTAAATAGGAGAAAGTTTGAAACTCGAAAATTATCTTAAATTGACTTTTCGCATTAAGATTGTCTTAAAAAAAATATTTTTATTTAATTTTTTTTATATTAATTTTGCAGCGTAGTAATTAAAGTTTTGAAAAGTAATTCTACATTTGCAGCTTAATTTGTAGCCTTTTTCCGCTCTAAGGTATTGTTTTGTTTTCCTCTTAGGATTGTCCTACAATTAGTTAGGACCGAGTTGGTTCGAAGTATGTATGTCGACAACGCGGCAGTCATTTATCTTGTCCATATCGAGACAATGATTATTTACTCTGTTGGTTCAGCTGATACCAGAATTGTTGATATTATCTGGATTCGTGCGATAATTTTTCATACAATGTCAGAAATATTTATGAGATTCCCTGCGATTTTCGATGCATTAGATGTCAATTACCATTGATATGGAATTTCTCATAGTGCCAATGTTCAAGGTGTTGACCAATATATATATTTATTTTTTTTTAATGTGACCAATCGCTGGCACAAGGCGAAACGGGAAAAAAGGGGCTGGTATATCTTTTTTTTTTTGCGAACGGGAGAATGTGTACCACATAAAATACAAGGTTTGGCAGACGGACAGATAGACAGACAACCAGACGGGTAGAAGGACAGACAAACTGGCGGACATGTTTAGACGTATTTTGAATTTAAAAGTGGTCAAGAACTTGCGCACTTTATGGTGCACTTTACTACACCATCGTCCAAAGAACATTAGTTCTAATTTTTGTACATTTGTCTACCGTGGGTTATGAGTAACGAGAGAAACAAGAAGTATTCTCAGATAACGTGGTATTGTACGCGCGTCCTTTGACCAATTTGGACCATTTTCGATACCAAACTAGGAGCGAAATCTTCCAATGGTTCTTCCAAATTTGAAGTCGATAGCATCTTTCTGCGACCAAGAGAATGGTGACGACAGACGTTAGGCATACAGATGGACATACTTCGATCCAAAATTTGACGCTGATCAAATATATGTCTTGTGAGGTCTCTAAAGTATCTTCTTCTGAGCGTTAAAAATGTTTCGACAAATAGAATATAAGTCTTATCATTCAGTAATGAATACGAGAAGGGAACTTAGCAAGTTCATAATATTCAAATGATCTGGAAAGTTTTGTCAAATATTGCTAGGAATGGCAACGTTGATCACATTAGCCTCAAGCTACTGGGAAATGTTTGACACATCAAGTATTCAATTGTTTTTCTTTAGTAAATCTTAGAAAATTTAGTGGTACAAGAAAATTCTATTATTTACATATATATATATATATGTATGTGAAACACTTTAGCTAAAATACTTGCCATTTTTTCCTTAATTAAATTTATTAAACTTAAAGGTCTAAGTTTTCTTTTTGTTACTTTTAATAGATAAAAAAATATAAAAAAAAATTAATGCCAAGTAATTGTTTATTATTTAAAAATAGAAAAATAATAAATAATAAATAACTGCCAATATATTTAAAAGTGTAAATGTGATTATGTTTCCTTTAGCTATTTATGATATTGTAAAATATGGTGTGGGCTGTCGTTATAAATAAAATTCCAAAAATGCAATTTTTTCTTAAAAACAAAACAAAAAAAAATTAATTAATAAACAAAAAACGAAACCAAAAAAAAAAATTGCAAAAAATTTGTAAAATCTTCATAAGTGTTTAGTTTAATATTAATTACCCTGTTATTAATATTAAAAAAAAAACGAATTCTCATTTATAAATTAATTTTGATTTTATTATTATCTCGCGTAACATATCTATTCACACCTATTTTTATATAAATATTACTTCAATATTTTCCTTTTAAACTATTTGTTTGATTAATTATTATTTCGTTTTTATTTTTTTGTACTTTATAAATTTTAATGTAAGTTTTTTGCTAACGAATCTTGTGTGACATTTATACGATTTTTCATTTATACGATTATTATGAATAATCGTTCATTAGCAACTAAGAGAACATTAATGCCAATCTGCTTGTAATTGTAGCCAAGTTGAAAGTTGAATCACACGTTTGTTATTAGCCAGTGCTTTTTTTTTTTTTATTTTACTTTTAATATGAAATAATGAAATTTAGTTTATCATTATTTTTTTTAATATTATTATTATTATTATTATTATTATTATTATTATTATTATTGCATTATTCTTTTAGTAGATATAATTTTTTTGTTTTTTGTCTTAATTTTGCTCTCATATTAATCATTTCATAATAAAATAAAATATTTCAATTTTATGGAATTTTTTATAAAAGAATTTTTTATTGGTTTTGCACAGACAACTTTCCTTTTTCATACGTGAGTAAGCCTTATATGTAAGTATGTAGTGCCGCAAGACAAATGAAAACGAATGTTATTAATATTAATAAGGATTGCTTCAATGCAATACTCTACTCGGGACTTTAAACGGAATGCAACGTTGGTGAACTTTTGTTAAGTGGGTCTGTGAGCCCAATCGATAAGCCTTACGCCGTTACCGCCTGAACTCTCATAAAAGCTCTGGCCAAAACAAACTTTACCGCACTCCGTCTAACTTAGCAGGATCCCGGTTTTCTGAAATCCAAAGCAATATTAAATCACCCCTATGTGTAAGCGATTGCTACCCTTATGGACTCACGTTAATCCAGCTCAATCTTGATGTCAACATACGTGTCAGTATATCTTACTTTATGCGGCGCTCAAGGCGCTCTGCGTCTATGAAATTCAAGACTTCGTATTTCTTTTCTGGGGCAGTTACGACAGGTTGGCATCAGATGACGCTGGTCGTTTTGCTTAAAGAAAATAGGATTTTTAAATTCTCGGTAAAAATCCCAACCATATCAGACAAAACTTCGTTTGCAGAATTTTTCGAAAACTGACACCGTTTCGAAACGGTCGCGAACCTTAGCTTCAGAACTGTTAATTAGAATATGAAAAAATCCAGTCGACTTTCGGCAGTAAACTAAAAGTCAATTTACAAAAAAATGTAGAGCAATCCTATGCAAGAAAGATTTTTACACGGAACAGGATCGATAATCAGAAAGTTTAACTCTTAGCAACCTGCTCGTAGCTGTAGAGACTGCTCACTTGGTAAAGGTATAAAACTTATCGCTTGGGTACGCACTCACTAGGCTGCTGCCAATCGCTACCTCTCTCTCTTTAGCGACCGCTTTTTAACCGTTTCGATGTTGCACGTACAGGGGCCATCTCCTGAGTGATTGGTCATAAATATGTATTTGATAATTAGTAATGTTTTCACAAAGTTAATGCACTTTATAGCACAAATAATATTGCACGTAATAATTCAATCATGTATCCATTCCGTTCATCTTTGACGGTCATAAACTATTTTAAAGTGCTGTAGAGTATTTAACCTCAAAGTTCAGCAATTATGTACTTGTTTTTAAATGCGTATATTATATGTCTACGTAGAAAGTGCATTTGTGTGCGTGTGTGTGTGTGTGTGTGTGTGTGTGTGTGTGTGTGTGTATGTATATATACGTCTCTAAAACTGGGTACAAAGATGAAGTAAGGAAATTAACGAAACGGAAAAGCTAATCGTACACATTATGCAGGTTAAGAGAAATATTAGAAAAGCACCTGTGCCTAAGAGGTTGAGTTACT